CAGTAAGATCCCTAATCCTGACACTTTCCTAACCATCGCAGAGGGAACCCCTGAGCATGATTGCGTAGAATAGCAGTTGCCAACCTTTCAGACCTCATGGACCACCAATGGCCTGCAGACCACGATTGGCAACCATTGCTCCAAAGATTTCCTTAAACCAGTGGTTGCCAACCTTTCAGACCTCATGGATCAACAATGATCTATGGAATACCAGTTGGCGACTGCTGGTCTAGAGAAGTCCTAGAGGAAGTTTACTCCAGCCGGCCAAATCTAACAGATAGGCCTCTACAGAATTCGAACTTAGTATTGTGCATGAACAGCAATAGCTTCCTAGATGAAGGAAAAAGATGAGTTGGGTATGCAGGGGTATCAAATTTTGAGATAATAGAGGCAGAGGCTCTGCCTGAAGGACGGTCAGCACAGAGGGCAGAACTTTGGGCCTAGTCAAAGCCTTAAATCTCAGTAAGGATAAGCGCGCCAACATCTACACTTACGAGCTATGCCTGCATTTCCATGTGGCCGTATACAGGGAAAGGGGGCTCCTGACGGCTGAAGGAAAAGGAATCAAAAATCAGAATGAGATCTTGAAGTTACTAAAAGTAGTCTGGGAGCCCAAGGAAGTAGCAGTCATCCATTGTAGAGAACACCTAAAAGGAAAAGACTCAGTGTCAGAAGGGAACCGTCCCACAGTCACAGCGGCAAGGCTAGCTGTTAAGGTGGCGTCATCACAGATCATGCAGGCTCCTGGATTACCTGAACCTCTGAAATACACCCCTCAAGAAAAAGAAGGGGCCCAACGAGAAGGAAGGTTGGTATATATTCCCAGACCTTAGGTTCTATGCTCCAGAACAGTTAGCTCATAGAGTAGTCCTCCAGCACCATGAACTTACCCATTCAGGGAAGACAGCTCTAGGAGCCTTTTTAAGCAAATACTGTCTAATTTCCCATCTCCCTTTCTTATGCACCTCAGTCTCAGTGCTGCCTCCTCAGTGCATAGAACAATGCAAGGCAGGGTCCAGTAGGACTGATAAGAATTCAATTCTGTGGGCAGGCTCCCTTTGAGGACCTAGAAGTAAGCTTTATAGAAATAGGTCCTAGTAGAGGAAATAAACATCTTTTAGTTTTTGTCTGCATCTTTTCAGGCTGGGTTGAGGCATATTCTACCTGCATGAGGAAGGAGAGATTAGTCACTAAGGCGTTACTGAAGGACATAGTTCTGTGGTATGGAATGCCATTAACCATAAGGTCAGATAATGGGCCAACCTTTGCAGCTGAAGTAGTACAGTAGGTAGCTAAGGCTTCAGAATTAAGTGGAACTTACGTGCAGCTTACAGGCCCCAGAGTTCAGGGAAAATAGAATGCATGAAGTTGGTTTTCAAACAGGCTATGGCTAAGGTATACCAGGAAACGAACTTACCCTGGACAGATATGTTACCACTTACTTCTGCTCCTGTGGGTGCACAGTGCCCTGAGAGCTAGGGTAGGGTTCTCTCCATTTGAAATTCTATATGGCAGTTCCCCTCCCTTAATTCCACCAAAGGGAGATTTGGAGGAAATAGAGAACTTAGAAATTCAGAAACAGCTACAAGGACTTTGGAAAACTGTCCTTTAAGTCCACAGATGGGTTACTAATTGATTGCCCATCTCTCTAGGAACAGCTGTGCACTCTCACAAGCCTGGGGACCAGGTTTTGGCAAAAGATTGGAAAAAAACACACACCCTTAAGCCAACCTGGAAGAGACCTTATCCAGTTGTACTAACTACCCTCTCAGCTCTCAAAGTTGCAGGACTGAACACCTGGATCCACCACTCCCAGGTAAAAGCAGCCCACAGCTGGGCAATCAGCACCAGAGTGGAAGGGGACCTCTGACATGAACCATCCCCTGTGGATCATCTTCAAGAAGATGGCGGATCCGGCAGACTGACCTGAATCTCCTTATCCTCTCCTATCTGGATAATTACCATTTTTTTTTTTCTCTAACAGTTTTATTCTGTCTTTATACAAGTGTCTCCAGGAAAAGAACTTCTTTGCCCTGGCTACTCTGATGACCTCCTTGGGGAAGATGGTAAAGACTAGGGGTACTGAACCCCCTTTTTCGTTGCCCCCCTTCAGCAGGAAGTACCTAGAGTGGTTGTTGACCTTGTCCCCAATTCCTGAGTCTTTTGTAATTCCCAAGGCTAAGAATAGCTCGTGGAACAAGAGCGGGAATGAAAATGAAAATGGGGGTGGGGGGGCGGCTTTCAGCCTAGCTCAGTGGTAAAACCTGTAGTCTTACTTCCCCACTCTGACCAGGGTGGAGATGCAGAGCCTAATCCCAGGGCCCCGCCACAGCTGACTCTGGCAGAGCTGCTGGGACCCTCAGGGGCCCACTACAGGAGGAGATATATAGATCAGAGCCTCCCCATGATTCAGGTCAGGCTTTGGATCTGGAATTCCCCTGGGCTAGCAGATCTATGAAATAACGGTTGAACTTTCCTTCCTCAGAGTGCTGGCTAATCATTCTCCTGTGCATTCTGCCACAACACAAGAACTTGTGGAATTCACCCACGTCTAAAGGTATTGCAGGAAAATCTGATGGCAACTAGGTGGCTCAGTTTCTTTGCCCTGAGAGGCTAATTAAAGCTCAATCATGAGATTCCAACAAAACAGATTTTAAGGCGCCTATATAATCAATTACCATTCTTTTTTTCATAAATCTTTATTGCTCAGATTATTACAATTGTTTCTCCCTTTTCCCCTCATAGCTCCCTTCCACCCGGTTCCCACCCCACCCTCTGCCCTTACCTCCCCCTCCCCACCCCCCCGCCATTGTCCTCATCCATAGGTGTACAATTTTAATCCAGTCTCTTTCGGCACCCCCACACCTCTTTCCCCCTGATAATTATCAATCCACTCCCTTCTTTTCCCCTGATTCTATTATATTCACCAGTTTATTCTGTTCCTCAGATTTTTAATTTCACTTGATCTTCTTCCTCTTCTTAAATAATACCTTTCAGCATTTCATATAATACTGGTTTGGTGGTGATAAACTCCTTTAATTTTTTCTTATCTGTGAAGCTCTTTATCTGTCCTTTAATTCTGAATGATAACTTTGCTGGATACAGTAATCTTGGTTGTAGGTTCTCGCTATTCATCACTTTGAATAATTCTTGCTACTCCCTTCTGGCCTGCATAGTTTCTGTTGAAGAAACGTATGGGTGCTCCCTTATAGGTAACCAACTGCTTTCCTCTTGCTGCTTGTAAGATCCTCTTTTTGTCTTTTGCCCTTGGCATTTTAATTATGATGTGTCTTCGTGTGTTCCTCTTTGGATTCCTCTTGTTTGGGGTTCTGTACACTTCATGTACTTGTAAGTCTATTTCTTTCACCAGGTGGGGGAAGTTTTCTGATATTATTTCTTCAAATATGTTTTCAGTATCTTGCTCTCTGTCTTCTTCTGGCACCTCCATATTTCTGATGTTGCTATACTTGAAGTTGTCCCAGAGGCTCCTTACACTATCTTCAACTTTCTGGATCTCTTCTTTTCTTGCTTTTGCAGAGGAGTGCCCCTTTCCTCTTTGTATTCCAGCTCTTTGACTTGTTTCTTGTGTTCTTCTAGTCTGCTGTTGGGTATGTGTATAATATTTTTTATTTCAGTCAGTTTATGTTTAATTTCTAGTTGAGTCTCAATAAATTTACAGGCCTTTTCTAGGAAATTCTTGAAAAACCTTATAACCATGGTTTTGAACTCTATATCCAATCTTTTGTTCTCCTACATCTCTTTCGTTTGAGATCTATTTCCTTGTCTCGGCATTTTTGCTGCTTCCCAGAGTTGGTAGGATGGCTTTGTGTGTTTGGTGTCCTAAATGGCCCAGTGGGTCAGCCTCCTCAGTTATCTGAGCTAGACACTCTTGGTGCTCCCCTTTGTGGACTGCGTGTACAGCCTTGTTGTAGCTAAGTCTTTATTGTTGTTGGTATCCCTGGGAGGAATTGACCTCCAGGCCCATTGGATGTGAGTATCAGCTGTGTCTACTCTGGGATTCCTTCTGTATTGGAGACAGTCTTATAGGATCAGACTTGCAAAAAGCCTCTGTGCTCAGCTTAGATGGGGTGGAATCTGAACTGACAGTCTTGGCTTCCTGTCAGTCCTGCCCTTGTGTGCTTGCCTGAGTTTCCGCCTGATCTCTGACTTCCGTGACTCCCCTGAGTTTCGGCCTGACGGTCCCAGATTCCCCTGCAAGAGCATGGGTGCCCCAGGGGCTCGCCTGGAATTGGGTTGGGTCTCCGTAGTTTGAAGCTTCTGACTCCTTCCACTATGGAGAGGCCGTGGCAACCTCCGTGGTCAGACCTCTGCACATACTCACTCGTGTGCGACTGTAGACCCTGCCTGCTGCGTCTCCCGGCTCCCCTAGTCTCCCAGTCTCTGAGTCTCTGAGTGCCTTTTTCTACAGTCCAGACTCCACCTGTGTGAGCCTGGATCCACGGGGTTTTGGCCGGGGTTGGGGTTCAGTACAGTCAGAAAGGGTTCAGTGCAATCAGGAATTCCTCCCCTCCTGCCAGCCGCACTTCCTCTCTGCACATGAGCTCTCCCTACCTCAGCACTTTGCGGGTCCCAATCAGATCCGTGAGTCTCTCTCCTTCTTTCTAGTTGTAGATTTCCTACTCCGCCAGCTTTCCTGTGTTTCTGAATGAAGTCCATTCTGGTTTTAGTTGTTGTTTGTTTTTGAAATTGTTGTGCGAGACAGCATCTTAGGTGCTTACCTAGGCCGCCATCTTGGTTCTCTTGGTGCCTTATTCTTCATGTCAATTTCCATTCTTATTCTGTCATGCAAAGAACAGGCTAAATTAAAACTAGACTTAATACAATAAATAAGTTAGTCTTAATTTGGCTCTTTTTTTCTTTTTAATTCTTCACCTGAGGATATTTTTCCATTGATTTTTAGAGATAGTGGAAGGAAGAGTGAGAGGAAAATATCAATGTGAGAGAGACACGTTGATTGGTTGCCTCCTGCAAGTGCCCTGGTGAGTCCAGTCAATCAATGGAGACCACAATCCTAAGTGGATAGACCTGGAAAATGACTAAGTATTCCATTAAAATCTTTCCCTAAAATCTATCCTAAAATCTCCTCCCTTAAAACCCTTACGAAAGAGGACTCAGTGTGCTCTCTCCCTCCTTCCCAGGAGCTAGCCTGTGCCTTTCCCTTCCCTACCCTTCTCCCCCTTTCCCAGGCAAGTTACCATCAACTTCCTCACTCCCAAACTACAAAAGCCTTTCCTTTACCTCTATAACTTGTTTCCTAAGACCATTTCTTCTAAAATTTACTTTTTCTACCTCTGTAATTTACCCAATAAATGTTCTTTTATAGTTTGGGTCTTGCTTTGACTTCTTTCCTAGCCAGAACCCAAGTACCAAGATTAATAAACCCAGGTTTAGTCTGACCCCAAGGGTCAGACACCTGGTGCTGCTCCTACTGCCTACAATACTATAAGGAGCTAACTGAAACACGACAGTTTTCTGGGTGTCATTATATAATTCACAAGGAATGAAATACAAATTGATATCTGCCAGTGGTGCAGATCCTATGGCAGTGACCCTGAAAGGATCAAGGTATTAAAGCCCTTTACACCCTGTCATTCCAGATTGTGACAAGAATTATGAGTTAAAATCTCAAGAAGATATTTTTGTCTCAAGTTCTTAACTATTAATTTTATATATCTACAGAATTTCTCAGCAAAAAAGAAAATAGAGAAAATAAATCAGTTTTGTTTCTCTTTGTCAGTAGTATTAGACATTTCTACCCTGTTTCCCTGAAAATAAGACAGTGTCTTATATTAATTTTTGCTCCCAAAGATGTGCTAGGTCTTATTTTCAGGGGATGTCTTATTTTTCCATGAAGAAGAATACAGTACACATTTATTGTTAAATGAAAATAAAGGAAATTTATTACCTGTATACGGTACGGTAGTACTGTAGTTGTCAATACAAACCAGACAAACTGTGAATCCTACAGTATCAAGAATTTACTAATTTATTCAATGACAATCATGTCATCATCTTCTGGAACATCATCATAACAATCCAATTCCTGAATTTCCTGGTGAATTTCTTGTGACTCCATTTCTTTCAGAATCAGTGGACCAAATCTCTCATGTTTAGCCTGGGGGGGGGGGGGGGTGCTTATTTTCGGAGTGGATGCCTTATATTTCACTCAGAAGGAAACCTTTAAGTAGGTCTTATTTTCGGAGGATGTCTTATTTTCGGGGAAACATGGTAGTTGTTTGTGTTACCTTAAAATTTATAGTTTAGTAATTTTTCCACATCTAAACACTTTGAATTTGACACATTTTATAACCTTTATCAGTAACTAGGATACAAATTGAATAAGTAAAATACAAAGCTGGGCCTTCAGAATCTAGGGGCCAAGAACACTGCTCTGGATGGTCTGTGAGTCCTTTGGACATTGCAAAGAAAGTATCATCTGTGAATTTGTACATCCTGGGGAAGTGATCCTTAGCTTCCCATTCAGGTTTTCATAGGGTTCCACGGACCCCCAGTGATCGGAGGGAGTTGGGGGTTCCTGCTCAGGTCTAAAGCTCAGCCAGAGGCTTTAGGCCTGGGCAGGGTCAGAGCCGGCGATTGGAGGGGGCAGGGGCTGAGCCAATGGGCGATTAATGTGAACTACAGAGGAAACACCTTTTCTGACTGCTCATTGGCTAAACTCCCTGTATGCCACTGGTAATAGTCTTAGTAACTTGGGTAATAAGAATACAAAAAGATGCGCTAGGGTTTTCCCACCACACTCCTGGAGAAAAAAACAAAACGAAGGTCTGCTGCTGGATGCTAAGAATGTCATATCCTGCCCTAGCTGGTTTGGCTCAGTGGATAATGCCTTGGCCTGCTGACCGCAGGGTCTGTGTTCGATTCTGATCAAGGGCATGTACCAAGGTTATAGGCTCCTCCCTGGCTGGGGCCCAGGTCAGGGCTCATGCAGGAGGCAACGAATCAAAGTGTTTCTCTCACTTTGATGTTTCTCTCTGTCTTTCCTTTTCTCTTCCACATTCTCTAAAAATCATATCTTCAGGTGAGGATAAAAAAAATAAAATTAAGAAATATGATATGCTTTGAAAGACCCATCTTGAAAATGCCTAAAGAAAGTTGTAATTTTTTCATGGTGAAGGGACTGGAGTCTGTGTTGATGAAAAAGCTTTGGTGGCTGTGGTGGCTGGCAGTGGCTGCAGCAGTGGGGTGATGGGGCTGGTGCCTTCCCCTTATCAGCCTGGTTGTCTACCACAAAGAGAGGCCAGACTGTGACTTAGGCCCATCCCCTATGGGCCTAAGCTGTCAGTAGAACATCCCCTGAGGGCTCCCAGTATGTGAGAGGGGGCAAACTGGGTGAGGCCTACCTCGTGCATGAATTTTGTGCACTGGGGCCTAGAGTGTGTGTGTGTGTGTGTGTGTGTGTGTGTGTGTGTGTATGCCTAAGTGACCTGCCAACTGGCCACTTGGCTGGTAGCTATGACATGCAATGACCACCAGGGGGCAGATGCTCAAGGCAGGAGCTGCCAAGTGACAGCAACTTTGCAGAGTGTCCTCTCACACTCCAGGACCCCTTGGGGGATGTCAGACTGCAAGTTTGGCCCAAGCCCCGCAGGCCAGGCCAAGGGGCCCCACCTGCTGGAGGGACTCTGGTCACTCTGCAGATGCCCTTCAAGTCCCAGTGCCACCCCAGGTGCAACCAGCCCGGGAGAGACTGCTGGGGAAGAAGAGGTTAGCTCCAGGGTGTATCTGGTTGGTCTAGCCCCATCCCATGCCACCAGCCAACTTCTAATTAATTTCCTTTCATTGTGCACAAATCTGTGCACTAGGGCTCTAGTCTTAAATAAATGAAGTTTACCTTAAAATGGAGCTAAACTTTCTTTTTTAAATGAAGGTTGTTTCTGGGACTAGAAACTTTTTTAAAAATAAAATAAAGGTTATTTCTACATGAATTCCATGGTGTAGAATCAGCCACATGTAGGATACTCTTTCAAGATTTATTTAAGATCCTTGCATGCCCTACCTGGTTTGGCTCAGTGGATAGAGTGTCAGCCTGCAGACTGAAGGGTCCCAGGTTTGATTTCAGTCAAGGGCATGTACCTTGGTTGCAGGCACATCCCTAGTGGGAGGTGTGCATGAGGCAGCTGATCAATGTTTCTCTCCATTCCCTTCCTCTCTGTAAAAAAATCAATAAAATATATATTTTTAAAAAGAACCCCTGCAAATTCCCAATATCAAGCAATGATACCACCAGTTTATGAGTCACCAAGACTCTAAATGTAGGTATCATTCTCACAGTCCATCCCATTTCAGTCCCAGGTCCTGTCTAATTCCCTCCAATTACAGCCATGTCTTCTTTCCTATACCCACCATAGCCCAGTCTCATTTTGCTCCTTTAAAATATAATGGCCTCTCACTACCTGGTTTTGCTCTGTGGGTAGAGCATTGAACTTCAAACTAGGGCCAGGGGCACATGATCAGGTTGCCAGCTCAATCTCTGGTGGGGGGCTGGCATGCAGGAGGCAGCTGATCAGTGATTCTTTCTCATCATTGATGTTTCTATCTCTCTCCCTCTCCCTTCCTCTCTGAATTCAATAATAAAAAAAAATCTCTCTCTATAAAGGCCTCTCCCCCCCCTCTCTCTCTCTCTCTCTCTCTCTCTCTCTCTCTCTCTCTCTCTCTCTCTCTCTCTCTCTATATATATATATATATATATATATATATATACCTAAGTGACAGGACGACCGAACAACTGGAATGACTAGTCTACTGGTCACTATGTGCATTGACCACCAGGGGTCAGATGCTCAATGCAGGAGCTACCCCCTGGTGGTCAGAGCACTCCCAGAGCCAACCTCCCCATGGCACCTCACCCCGCCTGCCAATCTCCTACAGTCCCTCCTCTCTGCCGGCCAGCTCTCCCAATAGACCTCCAATCAGGGGCCTGGCCGGCCAATCTCCTGTGGTCCTTCCCCCCATTGCCCCCCAATAGGCCTCAATCACCAGCCATTCCAAGGGACCCCATTTATGCATGAATTTGTGCACCAGGCCTCTAGTATTATATATATATATAATAGCCTCTTAACTATTCTCTTTAATAGGATCAGGTAACCCTGTGTGTGCTAAACTCAAGAATTTGAACTGTATTTAAAGGAAGTTCTTTGGAACCTAAAATTTTCATTAATAACTGAAAATGGTCTCTTCTCTCAAGGGACTTAGAACCCAGTGTACATTTATTCACCTTCAGAGTGAAAGGGCATGCTTTTCCAAGTCTCCATAGTTTCTTTAGGAGCAAATATTACCCTTTCTTCATCTTGAAATGTTAGACTTGATTGAAACAGTGTGTAAATTATTTTATGACCTGATTTCCCATTCTCTTGTTTCCACTATAAGCAGTCCTTAAATGTTAGTGGAAAATTTGGGATTTTGAGGAGCATCAGAAAGGCCCTATCTCAGAACATTTTGGGAGCTACCTGCTACTCTGCCTGGAATTCCACGATAAGTGCCAATGATATCTCCCCCCCCCCTCCCGCCCCTTCCCCCCTTCCCCACCGACCAAGGCTCCTAACTAGACAACCAAGGCTCCTAATTATCCAATTATCAGCCAGCCTTTGCCAAGGCATTTCCTCAGAGACAGCCCAGTGAGATAGCTGTTCCTTCTCCTAGGCCTCTAAATTCTACCCATTATGAGTCCATTTCAGAGACAGTCCATTTCACGTGACTGCAGTTTCCCCAGAAATGAATTCTATTATCACATTATCATAGTAACATGAGGTTCTCCATCTGTATAGCAAAAGTCTATGTGATCATCTGCTTGAAAAATGTGTCTTCTGAGAGACCAGTGTTGAAATGAACCCTGCACACTTTTCAACAGGAACCTATTTTTGCCGGAGTGTAGTCTCCTGTAGAATTTGATCACGATCTACAGTAAACGTTGAGTCTTTTGCCTGGGTTCAAGTCCGTTGCACAATTAAGCAGAGCTTAATTGAGCAAATAGTTTCTTAGTGTGCCGGTATTTCCACATGCTTCTCGGTACTTCCTCTTGCACAGTTCCCGGAATCCTTTTGTCAGATGAGGTGATACTGAATAGCTATCATAGTGTCAGGTTTTCTGAGAGAAACCAGTGGCATTTAATCACTCACCTGTCCATGGATAAATTGTTTTGTTTCCTTTACAGAAACTGCTGTTGGCGAACAGCCCTGGGCAGACTTCTGAGCCTGAGTGCAGATTTCCCCTGGATGCATTGCAGGAATAGAGGTAACGCGGCTTGGGCCGACCTGCAGATCAGGGTGGCTTTGGCTCCCCTTCCTCTGCCTTAGTCACCTGAC